GATTAATCGATGAATTATTGCAGCTCTAATTTTCATATTGAATTAAATTAGGCTTATTAAGCTTAAAAGAAAATGAGCTGTGGCATGACATCACACAGTTCGGAGTAGTCCTCACCCTGTATATTTATTTAATGTGTTTAAACGGCCACTTTGTAACTATTAGGGATGCACAGATCTAATACTGATGTTGGAAATCAGGCTGATACTGACTCAAATAGCTTATCAGTGACGCTAGGGTAGATCAATTCAATCCTATGTTTACAGTTTGCTATATTATTTTTCATTAAAATTTAAATTCCTATCTGCACTAAACAGTTGTGTCAATATTTTTAATCTTTAGTATTTGTTAAGTTTGTTAGCACTGGTTTATGACTTTGTGGCGGCACTGATTCCCCTGATTCAGCTGGTCAGAAAGATGCTTGAGAACATATCCCCCGATATAATAAACACCACGTCACAGGTGTCTTTCAGTGGTTCCCAACTGGTGGGTCGCGGTCCTAAAGTGGGTCTCGGGTCCATTCTGAATGGACCGCAAGTGACTCCCAAACATGTCAAGTTCGTAAAAAACACAAACTTGATTTTGAAGTATGGTGAATTTCCGGCACAGGGCTTTTATTTTGAAGTGCCTTTTCTTGCGGTAGAGTGAGTGAATAACAGACAGCTACGTAACAGAGAGAACAAACTAGCTTGATGACATGGCCAAACACAAGCTTGATGCTGAATATATTAAACCATGTAGACCTTGAACTAATGACTAAGGAGAGATTTGAATCCTGGCTGGACCAGTTGGGAACCACTGATTTACACTGTTAATTACCTTTAACAACTCCATGGAAAACCCATAAATTCATCCTCATGTCAGTGTCTGTGTGAACCGCGATTTAATATGTACCATTTGTTCTTAATTTATGCAGTTGTGTTGTTTTATACAAGTTTTCATACTTGTTTAAGTTTTATCCAATTTATTTCTGCATTTACAAGGTTTACACTTAAATTGTAATTCCTGGTATTCCTCAGGTTTTTTTTACCAAATTTCTGGTACATGATTCATTATTTTAATAATGAATACCAATTCATTAAATATATATCTATGTTTGTAATTGTTACATTTTGTTTTACAAAGTAAGAAAAGCAATGTTTAAGTCAAGCCTGATGTCGCCCTACACATAAAAGAATGCAATGTCGGAAACTCAAGAAAAGGTTTTACAACTTTATAAAAGTAGAGACACACAGCTTGATCAGTCACAGTCAGATGCTCCAGTATATGCCGTATGTATGTCAGCCTGTGGAGACAAATACAAGATGCTGAAACTGCAGCTGCAGCCCATGTAAACATACAATAATGATTATGCAGTTGTTTTGCATGTTTCTCAAAGACCTCATGCTGTCCAGTAATCTTCAAGGGATTATGTAAAACAGCACAAACAACGATGATTAATCATGTTTATCCTCATGATTCAGTCTATATGTTTATGAACCATGTAGAGACATGACATTAATTAGTTTGACTAAATGTCACGTTCACTTCCGTCAGAAATATCACACAGATTCATTATTTGACTCATGAACAGATGAGATT